CTGAGCTGCGACACCAAGTAGTTGCCGCTAACCAGGAGCATGAGCACAATACTGGTCCAGACGAGCACGGGCTGGTTGTAATGTCCTGCAGCGCCAAGCGGAGCCCAATGTACAAACACGATGCTCAGAAACAAGGTTGACGCGCTTCTGCCTTCAAGAAGCCACTCAGGATCCGTTCCCAGACTCCTCGCGGACGCACGCGTCACATATCGTTCTCTGCGCATCTTCTGGCCATGGCGACGGCGGCCCCGCCCAGGAGAGGACCACGTCAAACACAAGCACCCGTAAATACACATTAATTCTCATTTGCGGCACCGCCCGGACCGCTGCAAGCATTTCGCAGACTGCTCATCATGCGGAGGTGTCCCCGCGCAGGCGCTAACCCTTACAAGATCCAGACCACTCTGGTGGTTGGATCTTCCCCCTCATTCCTCCCATCCTGCGAAGCTGTCCACAATGCAGGCGCTAAGACAGACCTCCTAGGAGGGGGGGGCGCCAGGGGTGGGAACACTCTAGGATTCGCGCCAAGATTTGAGGGATGCCTCAGGCAGTTGGCCTGTGCACACGCCCATCATCCTGTACTCTCGGAGGAAATGCTGAACATTTCTCTGGCCGCCACGAAGTCAGGTCCTGAAGAGCTCGTACGTAGGACCCACTCACATTCAAACTCGATCACGCTTAGCCTAGCTAACGGCCGGATGTACTTTCATTCAGATTCGCCCACACCCAAACTCACCGGTACGAGAACTCACCTGTACTCAAACTTACTCATAATCACATTCGTACCCATCCTACTCTTCACAGACTCACTCATCCTCAGACTTACTCGCAGTCAGACTCACCCGTTCGCAGGTTCACTCTGAACCAGATTCACGCACACTCAAGCTCGCTTTCTGCCAGACTCAGTCGCACTCAGACTCAGACTCGACACCCATACTCACTCGGCCTTGCTCGCACTCAGACTCACGCACCCTCAGGCCCACTCACGGTCAGACTAACTCATACTCAGACCCCCTCATACTCACACTCGCTCACACTCGAACTCATCGTTCCTGGGCTCACGCGCGCCCAGACCCACTCACACGCCAACTCCACACACACAAATCACTCACGCCTCCTCACATCCCTCCTCCTGATCCTCCCTTCCACTCAGACGGATTCGCAGTCATACCCGCTCGCGCCCAGACTCGTTCAAGCTCAGACTCACGCACACCTAGACTGACTCATACTCAGACTCGCGCGTACAGGACTTGCTCACACTCAGACTCACGCACACCCAGATTCACTCACTCTCAGAATCACACATACAAACTTGCAGACTGACTTGCGCCCAGACTCACTCACACTCAGACCCACGCATGCTCAGACTCAGGCCCATCAGTCTGAACTTCAGACCCACTTACAATCAGACTTGCTGGCGCCCAGACTCTCTCACACTCGGATCTACTCTTACTCAGACCCGCTCACACTCGGACGCGCCCGTACTTAGACTCTCGTACATGGACGCATTCACACTCAAGCTCGCTCAGCCATACCCAAACTCACTCGTACCCAGACGCGCTCGTACTTCGACTCGCTCACATTCAGGCTCGCCTGCACGCAGGCTCACTCACACCTAGAGTGAGTCAAACTCGGGCGTACTCCAATTCAGATTCGCCAGCCCTCTGTCTTACTCACACTCAGACTAACTCACAATCACACTCATTCATGCTCGGACTCAGGCTCGTCACACATTCTCAAACCCACTCACATACTTGCTCACACTCAGACTTGCCCACACCTGGGCTCCAAAGCCCAGTCACACTCAGGCTCATTCGTACTCACACTCTCTCATACTGAGACTTGCCCACGCCCAAGATCAATCATTACTTTGCTCACCCGCGCTCAAACACACTCGTACTCTCATGACCAACACCCAAATCACTCACATCTACTCACCTCCCTCCTCCTCTTCCTCCCTGACACCCAGACTCGCTCACCTCAGACTGACTCATACTCAGACTCACTCCGACTCAGACTCACTCACTCTCAGGCCTGCTCAGGCTCTGACTCGCCCATAAGATATGCACTCACACTGGGACCACTCAGACTCAGATCCACTCATACTCAGACTCACAAGCACACTCAGACTCACTCGCATTCAGATTCACTCACACTCCGACTCACGCATGCTCAGACGCAGACTCGTCATATTCATATTCAGACCCCCACGCAGTCATATTTGATCGAACTCTGACTCATCCAAACTCAGACTCACCCGTACTCAGACTCATGTATACTCAGACGCACCCGTACTCAGACTCTCTCATACCTAGCCTCTCTCATGCTCAAACTTAATCATCCCTGGGCTCACTCACGCCCGGAGTCACTCACACTCGGATCACTCACGCTCAGATCCACTCACATTCTTCCCTATGTTGATTGGTTAATGCTCACTCGCTCTTGACTGGTGTTTCGCTCATCTCTCCTGAACAATTCCGAGACGAGGAGGAGGAGGAGGAGGAGTCAGTGATGTCGTCGATGTCGGCGTCGTCGTCGCGCCAGTCGTCTACGCGGACTCGATCTCCCAGCGAGACGTGACAGGAATATGCGATGCAAATGTGGGGATCTCCGCGTCGAGGAATTGTTCCGCCGCGCGAATGCCACGATCATAGCCATCGAAGTCCGCCTGACGTCAAACAACAACCCGACCGAACTGGTCAGGGAGGGAGGGGGGCCTCGTGGGGCGGGGGGGGGCGGCGAGGCCAGAGGGCCTGGGGGCTCTGGGCGGACGATGACGAAGGGCGCTGGACGGCGAGAGCAAAGGGCCTCGGGGCAGGAGAGGAGGGGGGGGAGGAGGAGGAGGAGGAGGAGGAGGAGGAGGAGGAGAGGAGGAGGAGGAGAGGAGGAGGAGGAGGAGGAGGAGGGAGGAGGAGGAGGAGGAGGAGGAGGAGGAGGAGGAGGAGGAGGAGGAGGAGGGGGGGGGGGGGAGGGGGGGCGGGCGGGGCGGGCGAGGCCAGAGGGCGAGGGGGGTCCCTGCCACGGAGCGCCGAGGGCCGAGAGGGGGCGGCGGCGGTTAGCGGCTCCAGGATGGCCCGAGGAGCCCCGGACGGGCGAGGCCGAACGACGACGACCCAAGGGAGACGAGCAAGGCCGTGCTGACGGCGTGGCCAGTCGACCAATGAAAGTCGCGAATCCATGGAACGTTGTCTTCTCTTCTGCGGCCCTGGCCTTGCGGACCTCGAAGCTTGCCTTTAACCTGTCTTCCCAGGAACCCTCGCTGGGCATCGCCTCGATGACTGGACTCCTGGACCACGCAGGCCGGTGGAGGAACTGGAGATCGTCCCCATCTGTGGTGGTGCGATGTGGAACCTGGTGTCTGCGACACGCATCGCGCGCAGAGCATACATATGGAACATCACGAGCCGAACGTTCCTACATGTCACCAGTGCATCGAGCGAGAACAGCACGACGAACCACAAGAAAGCGCGCGAAGCACACTCTCCTACACACGTCGTCCAGTCCCGCCTGCCATAACGAAAACGGCCACGTCTCTGCGGAAGGCATCCCTCGCCCGCCCACAGCATACACGCGTGCCCAGGCCCATTTCCCGCCAGTGGGGGAGCAGCGCGAGGAGAGGAGGCGAGGCCTAGGCGGCTTCTACTCCTTGCCCTCCTGGCGGGGGCCCGTGTCGGGGGGGTGGCCCCCTCCGCGCGCCTCGGGCGCGCGCGCGCGGCCGCGGCCGCGCGAACAGCTTCGTCCAACGGGACATCGAGCTGCGAGCGAAGCGAAGCGAAGCGCACGGGGCCGTCCTGGGGGCATTCTCTTGGGGAGAGGCGTGCAGCAGGAGACCAGGGGGGCGACGAACGAACGACCGACGAGCGACGGAGGTCCCCAGCCAGGAAGGCGCGAAGCACCGAGAGCAGTTCGAAGATCCCCTGACCTGCAAGCCCAGAGCCTCCTCCTCCTCCTCCTCCTCCTCCTCCTCCTCCTCCTCCTCCTCCGTTTCCTCCTCCTCCACGCTGCTGAGATGAGAAAGAACTTCGGACTTGATGCAGTACGAACTGGCTTGCCCCTTCCCTGGCGGGTGGCGCAGCGGAGCCACCACCGCCTGTGAGAGGAGGGCTTCCCAGCTTTCCAGCTGGTAGGGGCAATTGCACAGCGCTCGCTCATACGCGCCACCGCAGGCGGGATAGCGCAGGCAGGACTGACCAGCGGGGGAATGGAGTACCGACTGTTTCGTAATGGTGGAGCGATCGATGGGGGAGGGTCGAGGGGAGCAGAAAAAAGAGCCCTCAAGGAGGCCCCTGCTGCACGAAAGGTGCGCGGTTTTTCAGATTCCCGTTCATTGGCCTCCCACTAAAGAGCAGAAGGAGGAGGAGGAGGAGAACCAGTGTAAAATAAAGACCCATGAATGATATTGCAATGTATGTTTCATCGACGTTCTCTCTTCATCGGCCCCATACACGGATTCATTCCATGGGGGAAACGCTCCAATGGAAGACAATCGTTTGAACATCCAGAATTGTGCTAGAACGCCATTCCTGGAACTTCAACTCCGCGAAACACTATTCATGCTGCGTCGTGACGATCCCGAATCCCGCCAGAACACCGCTATTGGGACTGCAATACCGCGAATGAATGTGAGTGCTGCACCCTGACATTCCGACATGCCAGAACATCCTTTCTGGTACGCTAATCACGCGAATCGCCGGAAGTTGCTGCAAACTCTTAAGACGAATGCGCGCAACGCTAAAGCGAACACACATGAAACAACACCATCAATCGGTGAGTCTCTTGCGACTATTTGAAACGAGTGCGCGCGGTGTGAAAGCGAGGCCAGAATTTGAAAAGGAACCAACCTCGATCCGTGACGCTCTTGCCAAGTTTGGAAATTAATGCTCGCGGCGAAAAAGAGCCGTTCTCTATCCGTGACGCTCTTGCAATTTCTGCCTGTTCAGTTCGTGTTCTTTATATTTTTAAAATTTTAAAGAGCCGAATGTGCACGGCGCGAACGCGAG